AATCAAAGAAGGAAAGTATCCCAACACAGTTCACGTAGGTCTACCTCCGACCGAGACCGTCCAATGGTCCATTTTATGCAGGTCAAGACAGAAGAAGTCGCAGAGGCTGACCTGGCGGTCACCAGCCTCCCCCACCGCCGGAAGAGGCACCATCGGCCACAATTCACGCCCAGCATGTCAGGAGAACGGGTAGGAGGCTCGACCAACAATCCAGAGCTTAAACAAGAAATTCATCCTCATCCGACTGTGGGTGTTTTGTGGAGCCTGGGGAAATGAGAATATCCTTAAAGTTGACGTCTCTTGGGTAGAGGACGGGGGAGGGGAGGGAGGCCGGGCGGGCCGGTGCGAGGCGGGTGTGTGTTGCAGAAGGGCTGCGCGAGTACTTCGGCCAGTTCGGGGAGGTGAAGGAGTGCCTGGTGATGCGGGACCCCCTGACCAAGCGATCCAGGTGAGCCCCTCGCCGCCCTCCTGCGCGAAGCCCCCGCCCGCTCTCCGCCGGGTCACCATCTGCCTCTCCTCCCCGCGCAGGGGCTTCGGCTTCGTCACCTTCGTGGACCAGGCGGGGGTGGATAAGGTGCTGGCGCAGTCGCGGCACGAGCTCGACTCCAAAACAGTGAGTGGCCTCGCGGCTCCGGGGGTCCTGGGAGCGGGAGGCCGCGGAGGAGAGGTCGGGGCTCTGCCCAGGGGCAGTCGGACGGGGTCCTGACGGAAGGGGGGAGTTTTCCGAGTAGAAGGGCTGCCAGGCTCGGAAACTTTGTCACTAGAGTTGAAGGCAGAGAGAAGAGAAACCACCCAGGCCTGCCCTGAGGTGCTCCATCTCCCGACCCCTCCAGTGTAGGTGAGGGAAGGCTCAGCTGCCCGCCCCCCCCGCACCCCCCGGCCCCCATAAGTGCTCATCTTCATGCCTCCGGGAGGAGGCTGGGGTGGGGCGAGGGCTGCAGGGACCCACCCCGTGGCTTCTGTGAACTGCAACTAGTATTTGGCGCTGACACCCTCTCATTCCAGACCAATGGCAGCGCATCCCTGAACACCCCCCTCCCGCCTCCCCTGACTTTTGGGCAGAGAACTCCTTGCTCTGTGACCTGCTGTACCAGGAAGGGTTCCTGAGAGGGAGCCAGCCTGCCTGGAAAGAGCCCTCTGAGGCTGGCTCTTAGCGGCTTGTTTGGGATTCAAACTGCTGGAACATTTTTGCTGTTGTCCCACTGCTCCCGGGTGTCTTGGGCCCTGCAGGGGGCGCTGGCCCAGGCCCTGGCTCAAGGGGAGAGGGAAACGGAGAAAGTGATAGGGGTTACTCTGCGAGGGGGTGACCTGTGACTGGGGAGACCATCTGCCCAGGGGCCGGGACAGTATGCTCTCTCTCCACACTCCCCCACTCTCCGCCAGCCCTGGGCCTCCCTGCTCGGCCGCACTGGCTCCTGTTTACCTGCAACAATAGCTGGTTGTGCCCAAGAATTTGTTAAGTTACCGCCTGTCCCCGCTCCTGTTATCTCCGCCAGGGCTCCCACTCCTGCTCCCGTGAGGAGCAGATGAGGCCAGGCCTCAACTTCGCAGCTCTGAAAGGATCTTGTTGGCCCAGCCTGAGTGACCCAGGCGGGGATGGAGAGACAGTGGCCTATTGTTTTTGGTGATTATCTGCCATCAAGCGGCCTGTTCTCCTACCGTCCCCTGTCCTCAGAATGCACGGTGGCTTCTGCACCTCTGTGTCCTGAGAGGCTGGGGAATGGAAGGTTGATAAGGGCCAGAAGAGAGGGGAGGAAGGAGGGCGAGATGGCCTCCTTCTGAGATTTAGAACTCAGGGGCAGAGGCCTCGTGTTTGGCATTCTCCGGCCCGAGTTAGGGGTGGTGGGAGGGAGGTTTATTGTGGGGAGTCTATTTTGGGTTCTGACTTTCACCTTTTATTTACTTGTTGGGTTTTATTTATGTTGCCGGCTGTGAGTCAGTGGAGGTGGGCGTACCCGGGTAGGGTGTGTGTGGGTCTGCTGGACGGAGCTTGGGTACCATCTCATCTCCCCATGGGGCGGGTCTGCTCGGGGGACCCACTGAGGGGTGCTCCGGTGGCTGGGGAGGCCGCTTCCAGGAGAAACGGGAGGAGGAAAACATGTACAAAATCACACCTTCAGACGGGGAAGTGGTCAGCGGGGATTTTCCCTGGAGCCGAGTGGGACCCTGGGAGGGAGGAGGCACTGCCCTCGCATGGACTTGGAAGGTTCCTTGTCTGTGGGCGAATCCCAGTGGGGGAGCCCAGAGGAAGCTGGCCCTTGGTTTGTGCCATTCAGGCAGAGAGCCGGTGGCCTAGAACAAGGCTGAGTTTTGAACAGAAGGAACTTTGGGAAAAGATAGCTTTTGCCTGCGACTGGCTGGCGAACTTCTGAATGGTGTCCACCCATGTGGGTGCCAAGAGACTCTGAAATGACCGGGCCTCATAGGTCCTGCATTGATCACAGTGTCTCACGCCCTGCCTGTTGCTGTTTCTAAGTACAGGTAGAGCACCCTGGCATAACCACATGCATGTTGCTGTTCCCTTCTGGTTGGTTGTTCACAGCCCAGGGCAAAGGTGGCCCCTGGGTAATAGCGCCTTTGCTTGTGCAGTGAAGGGCAGTTCACAAAGGACCGCTTTCACCTCGTTATCTCATTTGATTTCCCCCAGCCGCCCCTGCGAAAAGTGGATGTGATGGTCCCCACTTTGCAGATGAGGGAACTGAGGCTCAGAGGGGCCAGGCAAGTTCCCAAGAGCACAGGCCCGGCCAGGGGCCCAGAACTTCTGAGTCCAAGTCCTCTGGCCGCGCACGTCCCCAAAGCCTGGGCTCCTTCACCGGAGCCGAGCCTAGCGCGTTCTCAGGAAGCTGTTTGTGTGCAGCCTCGGGGAGAGCTGTTCGGTGTCGGTGATATCAGGGAAACAGAACGGAGTGCATTCCTGGTGGTTTATGGACTCTTATCTTGAAGCAAAGGCTTTCCATTCCCAAGCCTTCAAAGTCTGAATTGCACACCTCGCCTAGACAGGTGTCCGTCTGTGTGAAGTCAGTTCAGCTGGGAAGGTCCTCGAAATACCTGGTGCTTAAAGGAGTAAGACTTTGCTTGCTTTGGGGGGCTCTTGCTGTAAGCTAGACACCCTGCCAAGTGCTTGGCAAGCGTTATCTCATACAGCCTGCAGATGTCCCTAGGAGGTGGATGTCACTCTTTGTCCATTTTGCAGGTGAGCTTGACCCTGAGGCTCAGAGAGTTTAAGAAATTTGCCTAAGGTCTTTACAGCTGGGAAGCAACTTAAGTGGGATTTGAACCCAGCAGCCTGGCTCTAGGGCCTAAATGCTTAATCACTGCCCTTTCCTGCTAGAGGCTGGTTCTGTCACCTCTGTGTCCTGGGATGAGAAAGGTCTTCAGGGCTGCAAGTTGTGTGGCCACCCATCAATGTGTGATAACCAAGGCCCCTTCTCTTTCAGATTGATCCCAAGGTGGCCTTTCCCCGGAGAGCACAGCCTAAGGTACGTGTGTCTGTCTGGGAGGAGCTCTATTACGGAGGGCAGAGATGTTCCCAGCATTCCTCTCTGTGAAAGATGCTTCTGGAACCTCTGTGTGGACTGGGATGGGGGGAGGGAGGATTCTCGATATCCTTGCTCTGTAGATTGAAGACACCATGTATCATCTTTCCGTCTGTGCTCTGGGGTGGACTGGGAAAGGGGCTGCATGTGTTGGAATAAGGGGAACCTCTAAGCAGCGGTTCTCAACCTGTGGGTCGCGACCCCTGAAAATACATCCTGCATATCAGATATTTACATTACAATTCATAACAGTAGCAAAATTACAGTTATGAAGTAGCAACGAAAATAATTTTATGGTTGGGGGTCACCACAACATGAGGAACTGTGTGAAAGGGTCGCGGCATTAGGAAGGTTGAGAACCACTGCGTCTAAGGGGACTCATTGTCCTGTATTTGAAGCCAGTTTGGTTTGGACCCTGAGTGGAATTCTCACCTCGGAGATCACAGCCTCTGTTCCCAGTGCCCTGGGGGTCAAATCCAGGACAGACCTACCCCCTGAGGCTGAGCTAGAGTAGGGCCAGGGAGCTGCTTCTGACCCCGGTCACCCTGCTCCCTCTTGATGTGTTGGGCTTGAGGAGGGGGAAGGGACCATGGAGTTCATCACCTGCTGTCTTTCAACTTGGGTGACAGTGGCTCCCCTCCTAAAAGTCTCTCTTTCCCCGGTGCTGTGGCAAGTTTTTCTGGGTGTGCGGAAAACGGATTTCTGAGCAGTTGAGCTATATAGCACTCAAAACTTTTGGTCCAGGGCAGAGGCCTTAGATTCTATTCCAGGCCCCAGGGCAACTAGCCGGATCTTAATTTTTAAGCAGTTGAATATAGGAGACAGACAGGAAGGCTGGTTACAGAACAGGGACCCTGTGTCTCTGACTTATCAAGTGTCCTAGGACTGGGTCCCGCTCCAGGAGATCTTCCTTTCTCCTTTGCAAGAGGGGTGGTGGGCACTGAGATGCTCGCGGGTTCTGAGCCATGGTGCCCAGCTCCTGCCACAGTGAAGGGAGAGGGGCAACTTGTACGAGGCAGGAAAGGGGCATCTCTGGCAGGGCCTGAAAGCAATTATGGAGCAGGTATTCGAAGGCAGCCACGCCGGGGAGCACATGGTCGGAACTGGGTTAATTCCATTAAGCAGTTTGGTGACAGAAGGTGCTTTAGTGTTAGGATGGGGCTGGGAATTGCTGTGGATTAGCCATGCGCTCCTGGGGTAATTAGGACCATGTGTTCTTCCTAAAACAGGACTGGGGCCACAGGGCTGCCAGAGGTTGGATTGGGAGGAGATTGATGAGGAAAATGTCGGCATGGAGTTTAGGGGGACCCTGTGATGGGCCTTGGCCTCTCCCAGGGGGAGCTGGCGGGGTCTTTAAGTTGGGCTGTATGTAGGCCTGGGTCACTAACCCACCGCCTTCTCTGTGGTGGTCTTTAGGGAAGGCATTTTCCCCATAAGACCCCAGGGAGGGAGACACATTGGAGCCAGCCAGGGTGTGGGGTGCACAGCTGCCTGTGACAGGCCTAGAAGCGGGGGTCCGAGGGGGGAGCTCAGGGGGGGCCTTCCGAGTAGCTGGGGCCACAGAGAGCTTGTCAGCTGGCGCCCTGGCAGGAGGGCTCGAGCCCCTGCTGGTGGCAGTAGGCCACAGGACTCAGATGCCCACTTTCTCATTCTCTCCCCCTAACAGATGGTGACTCGGACGAAGAAGATCTTTGTAGGGGGGCTGTCAGTGAACACCACGGTGGAGGATGTGAAGCAGTATTTTGAGCAGTTCGGGAAGGTGGGTCCAATCTGGGGGCTCGCTGGGGGTGTGAAACGCCTGGAGTTGGTCAGTAGCGAGCAGAGTCCAGCCAGGTCACTCCAGTTGCTGCACAAGGTGAAAGAGGGGTGGGTCCTTCTAGAGGGTGAGGCAAGGCCAACCCACTGTTCCAGCTCTTGGCCTGCCCA